CTGGACCAGGACATGAATTTTTTGTCTGCAACAGAGCTCTTTTCAGTTCAAGCACAGTAAAATCCTGATTATATGGTTCAGTATTGGGAGATTTGAAATTAATTAGTTGTTTTTCAATGCATTTTTTTGCGGAAAGAAATTCAAGAGGGTAGTTACTACTGTGTGAGACGGCTGAGAAACTCTGTCCAATAGCGTTGGCAATTTCCTTCCCTACTAGTAACTGTTTCACCACTTGTCTTTAAAATGGAAAGTGTGTGCTCTTTGTAGATACCGGACGCTTTCCGGACTCTCTCTCCCACACCTTCTTACTCGAAGTTGAAGAGCTAATCGAAGACACATACGAGATCCAAGAATTCTTCTGACTTTTCCTTCGCACCTGCCGAGCTTTTGCTTTAGCCCTTTTGAATATTACGAGATTTGATTCTGAAGGATATCGCCGAAAAATGCTCCAAGCTTTCCTTTGTTTTCTGATGGCGTCCTGGCATTCAGGATTCCACCAGGGCTTTGGGTATTTTGGCTGTTTTTACCGACGTTTTTGGTATACATATATCAGCTGCTTGAATAATTTTATCTGTAATGATCTTCACAGCCTGATCAATGTGCACATTCTTTATTATTTCTTCAGTAAAAAGAGCATAATGTAAGAAAGAGTCCCAGTCGGCTTTGTCCAACAAAAAGCGTGGTGTTCTAGGTATAAACACACTCCTATTTCCTGTAATGCTTATGATAATAGGAAAATGATCGCTATTATATAGATAATTCTCGACATTAAAGAAACAAAAAAGGCAAAAGCTGTGGAGAAACAATAGCAAGGTCAATGGAATGGAAGGTCCTTGTTGGCTGATGAAAATAAGTGCTTTCTGCGTTGTTAAGGATACAGAGACAGTGGTCGTGGAGTAGCTGTTCAATTTGCTTTCCTCGTGGGTTTGGTGTCTTTACTACCCCACAAGGGATTGTGTCCATTGAAATCACCGACTAGAATAAACGGAGCTGGTAGTTGGGCAATTAGATCCTCTAAATCTCTTAATTAATGTTCTCATTAGGCGGGATGTAAATACTGCAGACAGTAGTCAGTGTTCGAATGCTCAACTGTACTGCAACTGCTTGGAGAGGAGTATCCAAAGGGAGAGCACTCGAAGGGCAATTAATTGAGGTGAGTAGACAGACACCACCACTTGCGCGTTCACTGAATGTCTTATCCTTTCTTGTCATCGAGTACCTACGTAGCTTTGCAAAATTACCAGGTTTGAGGAATGTCTCTTGTATCGCTATACAAATAGGTCGATATTTATTAATAAGTTGCTTAATGCCATCAATACCCTGATAGAAGCCCCGGCAGTTCCACGAAATGAGAGTAGCCATTAGGAATGTTTATTGCTTCGATGCTGTTTCTTTTCTTTGTTTTGTGAGGTAGAACATTTTTTTCGAGAGATCTCCGCCTCCATCTGTTTCCATCTCAGATTCGATAAAGTCTGAAAAGGTCCCTTCAATAGAGCTTCGGTCTTTGAGTTCTTCTTCTTTTCTGAGCTTTTGATTTTTCTTTTTGAACTCTTCTGTTTTCTTGTGTTTTTATTTTTCTTCGACTTTCTATTTTGTCTGTTTGGGAGGAGGTGCAGCAGGCAAACTTTTTCTTGTAACCTGCCTTAATGGCTTTCGGTAGCTCTGGAGAGGAAAAGACAGAATAAGATGTTTTGTGTTGACGAGTTGCCCGTCTCTACGGACTTTTATTCGGCGGACCCCACACACATTTTGCTCGGCGAGTTCTTTTGAAAGTTCATCCTCAGAGACTGATATCAAGTCTATTTCCGAAATGACACCTCTTGACGTGTTCAAAGACTTATGTGGGGATACAGTAATAGAATGTTCCCCCATTTTGGTCATTTTTAGGAGAGAGGAAGATTGTGCATCAGATGTAGTCTCGATGAGCAGAGATCCTGAACGGAGCTTTTTTATGTGTTTTGGCTCGCCTGCTGAGGCCACAATATGCTTATGGATGAAGAATGGTGATAAATTTTCTAGCTCACCAGTAATAACTAAGAACTTTGGACATTTGTTTGTGCTAATTAAGGTCGAAGTGCAAATTCTTTTAGCAGCTCCAGAATTTTTCGTATCCATATGGTTAGGAGAGGAAGTTAAAGTTTTCATATTGAAAAGAGAGAAAGTTTCGGGCCCGACCGCCCCACCCACCATGGAGCCCAACAAGGGAACACAGATCCCTGTGTTAGGGCTAGCCGGGCCTATACGCAAACTGAAGCCCCACAGTCGGCTTTCCCGAAAGCGGAGACTTCCGAGAGCTTATCCCCTAGCCACTGACCAATAGGACTAGTGACCAGCCGATTGACACTAGCGGGGACAGCTAAGTGCCTCCCGTTTTAAGTAGAAGCAGAGGCCAAAGCAGTGTGTTGGGGACAGTACCTCGCCCCTCAACTGCCAGGATCCTCCTTTCCCACCCTACGGGTCACCATGCACGGCAAACGCATAGGCGGTATTCTCACCATGGTGAAACAGAAACCAGAGTAGTAGCTGCATCTCACAGTGAGCCCCAACCTCCAGTAGAGGAAACCACAAGGGAGAGAAATAGGAGAGAGAGAGCTAGACAAGAGGAGAGGAAAGAAAGAGGAGGAAAGGTCACTGGGGCCCCGGGAGTGTGACACCCGATCACCAAGACGGCAATCCCCTGAGGGTTCTTCACCTGCTATGCTTTAGCTGGGCATGTTGGAACGGCCTTCACGCCTAGGGTGGCCCTACCAGGAGCTATGCTCCCGACGTACTTCGCCCGTTCCGCCCAGTGACACCCCCCACCACGTTGAGGCAGCATAGCAGGACTTTGGGGGGGGGCAATTTTAGTAAAAAGTCTGGTTCGGAAAATTATCTGGAGTTTGCATGTCTACCCTTTCGCAGAAAAGTGTGAATTTTTCTATGTAGCTCGAATGCACAGGATAAGATATTTCCACATGAAATCCATTGCAAACTGCAGTAATATAGCAGAGCTGCATGTTCAGCTGCTATGTCTATGCAAAGTTTTTCCAATATTATAGCTTTCAGGGGCCTAGTTTTTATAGTTTACTACGTTTATACATTCCAATACCAAATTCAATTAACAGCTCATCGACTCCGATGCAAGTGCTTCCCAATGGATGATGCAATGGGTCCGTTTACTGCAATAATAAGGACTTGCAATCATCCATAACTGCCAGACATTGATAGTGCGCCGTCAGTACACATACCGATACATTTTTTTGCAATCTAAATTATTTTTTTATAAACTTGTCAAGAGTTTCAAATAAGTTTCGAGCCTTTGCGCCTTCATTGATGCTTTTTTCATCAATCAATTGAGGGTGTTCCAAGACTTCATCAATTGAGTGTGTTCAACAATCATATTATTATAGAGAAAATTTATGTAACAAATTAAGTATGAATCTTTATCATCAGTAGCCTCATTCAAGCTGTAGACCAAATTCTTTGCCTTTTATTTTCTTTATTAATTGGTCATTGAGATCCTCGGCTACATGATGTATTGTTCAACTAAAAGTATTATTATGTAGATAAAGGTACCAATGTAGTTAATTAGTTCATCGACCAATTCTCCTACCATAATATTAACCATATTGAGAGCAGCCAGTTAAAACAAGTTCTGCGATGGTGTGAGGTTTCTTGCACTTTGATACCCTATATGGTACAATGAACGATGCTAGCTGTGCCTTGCTAGGTACTAAAGCTTGTTGAGTGAATACTTTTTTTTGTTGTTGTTGTTTTTGTAAATTTCGCAACTTCCTACTAAAAGCCCGGATGATTTTTCAACCATGGTAGGGTGAATGGTCTCCGAATGTCATTTTAGATTACTTGGGAGCATACTCTCGGACGATAGAATTTTCCGATTGAGCACAGATACCTTGCAGTCTTTCCTCGTTATTTACTTCTCCTGAAATGAAACCAAAGTCCAAATGGCTAACATCGTATTTGCGATATTTCCGCTTTTCTGCTCCCCAGCCACTTGCCGAGGTGTGATCACTCTGACTTGAACTATTGACTTGCATATTTAATCAAAATCTTTCTATTTTGTAACTAAATTTTTACGAAAACACGAAGCAGCACAATTAAAACAAAGCAACTGAACTGCTTACATACATATGTCTAAAGAGATATCACTGTTCTAAAGAGATATTATCTAAAGAGATATTGTCTAAAGAGATATTACTTTATCTGTTCTGGGTTCGTAAATCACAACTCTATCACTACCAAGAACACTTTATTACTACTTCTATTTAACTTAACAATTTAACTGCTTACGCTTATAAACTAACTTGGAAATGCAGCGCAGATGATACACTGCCACTAATGTGCGTTCGCGCCAACCCATGTCTATGTGACGCGATCAAATGTGAGCTTCTGGAAATCTTTTGAGTAGGCCAGCAAAGAATTCGCCTCACAGCGCCACACTTCGGGAACCTATGATTTAGACAATTTAGATCAAATAAAATTTCTCAAGAAAATTTATGCCAAAGATCACTAAGAGTGGGAGAATAAAATCTGCTCAACTTCAGTTGCATTAGCTCGTCAATAAAACTTAACTGTGCAAATTTTACTTGCATAAATTAATTTCATTGCTAAAAAACACTTGCATTAGTGAATGCTAAATTTTAAAAACTTGGATTCCTACCAGGAGACGAGCAGACGTGTCAAAAACTGAAACAGTTTGGAGCTATGCAATGGATGCCTTAAAAAATTTTCCCTCTTCTGCAGACTATGTCAAATAACTCATGGTGCTAAGCAGCTAACAATAATTTTTGCATTAGGGTGTTAGTCTACCTGTTTTTTCTGTTTTAACCTAAAAATGTAAGAAATCAGCTTGCCCTCGGCGGGGCTCAACTTCCAGGCCTTCCAACTGCTAGCTGGACATGCTTCCAATGCATATGCTTTTTTTAAATAAATTTTGACCAAGAGTATAAAAGAGCGTTGGATTGGTATTTCAAACATAACTCACACAGCGACTGATTGAAATGGACACATCAAAGGCGCTCGTTCAGAGTTGCTTGCTGTATGATCTTAAAGTGGGCCTGTCAGCAGGAGAATCAAGTCGCCGAATTCGCCAGGCCTTTGAGGATGATGCCGTTAACGAACGAACTTCTAGGCAATGGTTCCAGAAGTTCAAGTCAGGGTACATGTCTCTTAGTGATGCATCACTCAGCAGTCAGCCACAAGCGCTGAACGATGAGGGCCTGAGAGCAGCCATAGAGAGTGACAGTAGCCAAACATGTGGTGAGCTTGCTGCACACTTCCAGGTATCAGATGAAATGATCAGACTCCATTTGCACCGCATAGGAAAAGCATACAAGCTGAGCAAGTGAGTACCCCACTCACTGTCCGATGCAATTAAGTAACAGTGTGTCACTGCTTGTTTATCATAGCTTACTTGGCACTGCAATGCATCTATATTTGATCGAGTACTCACTAGCAATGAAAAGTGGGTCCAGTATGACATACCCAGTGTTTCAGACATTGGTTGTCACCACAGGGCCCTGTGCCTCACACTGCGAGATCTTCTCTCTCTCTCTCTCAAAATACTCTGTATCTGGTGGACTTGTTGCCATGTGGTCCACTATGAGCTCCTGCCAGTGGGTCAAACCATCACAGCAGGGATGTACTTGCAGCAGTTGGAACGTGTGCATTAGGCACTGATGTATAAAGAGCCAACATTGATCAATCGTAAGGGTGTACTCCTCCTTCATGAGAATGTGAGGCAGCATATGGCTCAGGAGGACAGGGACACCATCCAGCGACTGAGCTGGTAGACAATACCCCATCTACCATACTTTCCAGACTACCACTTTTTCATTCCCTGGACAACGATCTTCGTGAGAAATCCTTCAACAACCGGCCAGACCTTGAAAAGACCATCACGGACTTCTTTGCTTGCAAGACTCCTGGGTTTTATCATCATGCATCGCACAGCTAGCTACTCATTGGCAAAAGGCACTGGATGCTGACGGTGATTTCTTTGAGGATTAGTGGCGATTATTATTTGTTTTATAACTTTTTCTTTCTGACTGTCAAAAACGGCAAGAACATTAATTACCATGTATTTGTAGTAGCTTTTTTATCTCTAGGTTTTTTAACTGCCATTTGAAAACTTTCAAAAATATTAGCAGCTGTTGCAAGTCCCATGAAAACAAAGGTCAAAAATCAAGTTGTAACTTTATTTTGGTCAGACTGCCAATATTTAATATGCAAACCTAACTGCTTTTTTTTATTTGTTTTAGTCAGTCTCATCAAATAACAAGGTAAAGTGGGATAGCTAATTAAATTCGTCATACATGAGACTGAAAATAAGGGGTTAATCCAAAATGGCAGAGATAAGCAAGCTTTCTTTCACTACAAGAAAAGCATCTTGCACTGTCAGGGAACATACTTGAAAAAAAGTTTGCCCATAAGCTAGACCTATAAGAGTAATGACTTGTCACCATTTTCAAACACCATAAAATTTCAGCATCCAAAACATCTTTTGAAGCTCCTACAGCATCATCTAAGGTATCTGAATTTCGCAAAGCACAAATAACACTTGGGAAAGTGGAAGGTGCAACATTAATAGGAAAAAGCTTATTATTCCACCAATAGCTCTCTGTATTTTTCCCTTTCAGAAATTTTTTATGCTTGGCACCTAGAAATAAATAGAATTTATTGTACATTAATTTATTTTCCCACTCATATTAATATTGAAATAATTTAACTTGAATCAAAATTTTGAACATTTTCTAAATTTTCATTATATGATAGTTTTCTTTTAACAGATGTTGCAAAGTAATTTAAGTACAGTCAAAAGTCGTTAATTCGGACACCCATAATTCGGAATGATCTATAATCCGGACCTCAAAACTAAAAACTCTGCGCATGCGCCGCGTTGACACATGCGCATAGGCGTTTACGCGTGCGCGTAAGACCTTTTACGACTGCACATATGAGTGTGCGCAAGTGCAGAATACGTTTTCGCGTGCGCGTTTTATGTATAATGGACGTATAAGCTAAAATTATCTAATAATCTATTTCAGTTAATGTTGATGATTGCGTTGTTCCTTAATTTTCGAAGTGGATCCGGCTTATTATTTTTTGCAGATTGTAAGAGCAATTTTATAAAAGTAAGCTTAAACGTTCGATTATATCAAATAGAATTTCCGATATATATTTGTTAATATGTAAAGGATCTAAAGCGAAAGTATGTTTTGAAATCTGAAATCTGTTTATCAATTTCACGCTACTCGGCGGGGGGAACGCCGCGCGGCGGGCGCGTAATGAATTGGAAGTTGATCTGTCAGCACTATCCTTGTCTTCAGGGCAGATGTTTTTATTTTATTTGGCTTATAATTGAAGATCAGATGTTTTTATTTTATTTGGCTTATAATTCCTTACCAAATGTAGTATTTCATCTCGATATGCTCCGTCTTTGATATGATTTAAAACAAGTTCCTCGTCATTATAATTCGCTTCCGATAGCGAAGAAAAGTAACAGAGGTTATTGAAAACGAAAAAATTTCGATTGACAAATTAGTCGGTGTTCTTGACACAGCAATTATAGGACTTGAACAGCGGAACTTTGTAACTGAAACAAGAATTATGTCTGTTTAATAGAATTAAAGAGAAAGTATTATCACATGAAACTAAGCAAAACTTAAACAACTTACATTGAAAGAAATGTTTATTTAAGTAAACAAATAAATATTAAGCTTTTTCTTTTTGCAAATTTTGATACCCTTTAGATCATAATTGTTCTTTATTTCATAAATTACGGTTTCATATTTTTAATTTTAGAATTTCTGCATGCCATCTTACAAGATTTAAACTGATGATCTATAATCCGGAAAAATCGATAATCCGGAATCGTCGAAGTCCCGATGAGTCCGGATTAACGACTTTTGACTGTAATAGGAAAAAAAAAAAAAAAAAGAAAAGAAAAGAAAGAGAGTAATATTTCTTAAGTCAGAAGAGGGAAATTGCTTCATGCAGTCATCCATTATATAGTAAGAGCTTACCTAACCAACATGCTCAGAAATTGTCAAATATCTGAAAATTCCTGATAGTCAAGTGTAACTGGAAAAAGGGGGAGGGGTAGATTGTAGCCTTTTTTAGATTTTTCGACTAAATAATGCTTTTGACATTTCGATATGTGCAATAAACATAATTTTTAAGAATATTTCTGTATCTTTTGTAACATTGCAATATTTAAAATACAAAATATCATGAAGATCTTAATTTAACATTCAGTAGAAAACAAATGTTCCTCTTGATTTAAAAAAAAAAAAAAAAATTATCTGCAGACCAATTATTACTGAAAACATATAGATTGTAAAAATACATTTATAAACATAGAATAGAAATTAAAAATAAAGTAATTAAAATTAAATTAAAAAGCCCATGACTCGTGCTAAAACTGCAACGTAATAAACGAATAATTTATAATAAGAAAAATTTCCATATACCATCTCCTAGCAACACATTTTCAATTTAAAATCATGAATGAAAAAAATTAGTCAGAATTTAAATTAGTATTTGAAATAGCAATTTCAACTTCTTGTTAAAAGATTTGGTTGTTGCTAATTGATGGTAGATTGGTTTATCGCCTTGATAAGTCGATTTACCTCCGATCAATGACAATAACTACTTCTTCAATATTTAGAATTTACTTTTGGTTTTGGTATTTTTGTGATTTAAGATTTTTCTTAGCAGTTCCTTTTAACAAGAAGTTGAAATTACTATTTAAAATACTAATTTAAATTCTGACTATTTTTTTTCCCCCATTCATGATTTTAAATTGAAAGTGTGTTCCTTGGAGATGGTATGGAAAGTTTTCTTATTATAAATTTTTACACAACTATATTTATAAATAAAAAATAGCCCAATGAAATTGAAAAATATTCTGCTTAGCAAGCACAGTAACTCTTAAGTGCTCATAAACAAATCTCAGATTGAATATCAAAACTAATTATATTTCCAAGATACAACAAACATTATTGCACATAATGCATGCCTTAATTCTTCTGCACATATTACGCAATTGGAATCAACAGCTGCTGGTATTTGGAGAATAAAAAAAAGGAAAAGAAAGAGACAAATCTAGAGTGTTTTTCATGCTAATTTTGAACAGACTGCATTAAATTTTCGGAAGAGAAACACTGTTCGCCTGGGTTGGTAGACATCAAAACTTTTAGCCCTATTCAACATATATTGAAAAGCAACTCCCCCCCCCCAAAGAAACCCACCTTCGTTCCTTGTTTTACTACGAACTGCAACGGTTTGAATATTCAAGATTTTTTGGATAAAGGGGAGGATCCGGAATCTTAGAATCTCTTGCTTCCATACTGTATAATGCATTGGCAAAAAAATTGAAAATGTAAGCAAAAAATCCCCAACTTTGAAGATATGCATGAAATACAGAAATAATAGGAAGGGGGATATAATATAAGAATAGTATGAAAAAAGCTTTTCAAAAGCAGAAAAGAAAAATTAAAAAAATAAATAAATCAGAGGTCCATGGGAGATTTTAATTTCACAGACTAGAATTAATAATAATTCAATAGAAAAAGTTTACTTACGATTCATGTGACACTTTAAAGCAGATTTTCCCATACTTGCTATGTTGATTTCAGTTTTACACCAGGAACACATGGCATTGCGATTGTTTTCACTTTGTTTAAGCCATTCAGAGTATTCATCCTTAGAAAACCAATCTGTGTTAAGAACATACTTACCCATTTTTGAAGTTTATCTATACTTCACTTACTGCAATTATTATAAATATTCACTTACTGCAATTATTATAATTATTATAAATATTCATATATAATAATCATAATAAAAGCGAATATGAACTGATACGCAAAATGAGAATGCAAATTATTATAGAAATTCAAATGCCTATAGTCTGTGGGTGGGAGGAAACGAATGTGGAATGTACCGTAATTTTCTACGCCTTTTACAATTCTATGACCAAAAGAACGACGTGCACCTGTCTCTACTGCCGTGAAACAAAGGTTATGTTAATGCAGAGAAAGGGGAGAAAAGCTTTTTCCTTGAAGTATGGTTCAACATCTGATGCTCCAGATAAGAAAGAAAAGTTGTTTATCCAGTTTTGGCTTTGATACGAAAGGGGAAGCACTTTTGTTAAAAAAAATAAGCATTAATAATAAAAAATAATTGCTTTAGAGAAAAAGTAAGCACTTATAAGGGTCTTCATAATTTATTTTCAAATATAAGGACTTATAAGCATTTGTAAGGACCGCTATGCATCTTGACATTGCACATGAAAAATAAATAAATAAGTCAAAACAATTATTTAGTTTTTAATTGTTCACATTAATGTCACTTTTACATCTGGTATGAGGCACATAAAATATAATGACATCAATACTAGAAAAATGATCAAGGCTAATTAATATATATAGTGATATGTATAAAATAATTTCTATCATCTCATTATACTTTTAATATCCATAATCATACATAGCACAGATAACCAACATTCTCCATTTGAGATGAAATAAATTAGTAAAGATACATGTAAAACAGGCAATAAATTATTCCCTTTCAGTGTTGACTACAATCTACTGATCATTTAACCACAGGTCAGCAATCTGCTTCACATCATGAAAATAAAAGAATTAAGTCTTGTTAAAGCACATGATATGATGCATATCCATGCATGTATATGAATGTATATATATACATACATAAAAAAATTCAAATTATTGCTTTCTGACAACAACAGCAAATATTAATATTTTACTCAATAAAATTATGAATTAAAACTAGAACAATGCATACACAAGATAATTCTTTACACTCACAAAATAAAAAATAAAGAACTGAAAAATAGCATTTTCAAATTTTCAGCATCCTGGAGTATGCTGCATTTCTAGGAATGGTAATATAAGTAAATGAAGGGGAAAAGTCACAATACACAACTGTCATATATACATTCATGTAATGAGAAATTTTCTAAGTTATAAATACCTCTAATAATCATGAAATTAAAAATTCTTTAATTGATGTACTATTTGTCTTTCCAGCGGGAGATATTTCTCCAGCATTTTCACATGAAGCATAATTCCACTGATTAGGAACAGGCAAGTCTAATAAACCATATTTTTCACGAATATCATCCTGCACCTGCCAACAAAACTTCTTCATAGGAGGATTGAGGCATTTTCCATAAGTAGCTATATTTCTTATCATTCTTGATAACTGGGCTTTGGATATTCTGTTTGAATTTAATATGTGTGCTTCAGAAATTTCATCCCGATTTTTCATTTCGCAATCAGTGTTAGGATCAGGCACAGCAGATTCTGAATGATTTAAACTGCCCTCAACCTTTTGATCAGCAGTATTTTGATTGGAATACTGTGACCAATAATCCTGGAACTCTTGCACAAGAGTAGAACGCTTTTTTGTATTCCCATGCACAAGCCGAATCAGATGTGGCATTGCTGAAAATTTTGCATATGTTAAAAGATGGATTAAAAACAAAGATGCATAAAAACTTTTAATCTTAATAAAGTGCATAGATAAAGGAAAAAAATTCTAACATAATACATTCATTGGAAAATGCTTTTATGTGTTGTAAATACATGACACTGGAACTCAATAGAGTTCCAGTTTATGATGAATTAAATTAACATCATTTTTAATTATACTTCAAAATCTTTTCTAAATTATACTATACTGAGAATTCTAAAATATAAAAATTTAATTTTTTGCCTAATATGATTTTATGGAATGATCACTTTACACAGCATATTCTTAATATCATAGCTGCTAACCTTAAAATGATAGAAACTAAAAGAAAATGGGAAGTTTCCACAGTGTGCAATGACTCCACAAGAAAGGAACTACAAATCGACTTCAATTCACTTTATATGAACAATGTGTAATTCAATATTGTGTCCTTTGGCTCATTTAATTTTAAAATTTTCTTATATTTTTATCCTTGGTATGTGAAAAGAAAAATTCTGTGCAGGAAAAAAAAAAAAAAACTTTTATTTATCAAAGTACTTTTAAAAATATGGCTAAAATAAAATTAATAATCAATGTATACAGTATTTGGATGGATAAACTTAATAATGTACCATATATTGATATACGCAAAATTAAATACAAACATTAAGTGATTAAAGAACAAAACATATAAGCATTCAATACTACAACAGATTAAGACAACTCAGATCAAATGAAATTTAAATAAAACAAAGATTAATAAATGTAATAAAAATACAATTCAGAGGAAATAAAATTTAATAAGAATTATTATTCTGAAAATTATCAGAGGAGGAGAAATGGGAATTACATAATTTAAATTTCATTAATTCAATACATTTTATTTACAGCTGGGAAACATTTTCCTTAGTAAAAGCTAAAAATTAGAAACCAGGAGATTTGGTGATCTACTAGGTGACCAAGAGATGTGATGAAAAATTTGGAGATAGCAGCTATGTAATATAAATTTTTATCTTCTAAATCTAATAATATCTAAAATTTAAAAATTTCCACTTCATAGGGTTAACTACATTTGAACTTTTCTTACATACTGAAATGATTCCATTATTAATTTACAGAATATTTCTTTTAATTAATATATTTATATGTAGATTTACATATAAAGGTCGCACCAAAAATAATGAACCAAAAAAAAAGGGGGGGGACAGCCTAACTTTTTTGTTACAGATTTTCCAGACTCTGCATATTATTAGATTGACCCTCTTCTCTACACCATGTAGAAATAATTTTCTTCGTCACAAGTAAATAGATATAAAGTAAAAATAACAACCCGTCAATGAGATCTTGATAAAAAAAAAAAAAAGGCAGTAATGCACACAGATAGATTTTGTTGTTACCATCCTTGTCCGTGCATTTCATGGAAGAATTGTTGCCAGATCCTCAAGGAGGTTAGACTTTTACTTCTACCCCAGTTTTGAGGGAGAGCACTCCTGGGAGTGGTCCGAGGGTCTCCTCAACTGGCTTCCATCTTTATCTAACCACAATAGTAAATTGATCTTTTCGGTGCCTTTATGCACCTATCAGAAAAAACATATATATTTTCACTTTACATCATCAAGAGACAAACTAGTTTTAAATCCAGAAACTTTCTGAGAATTAGATTCCTCCTCTCCTGTTTTCTTATTTTCAGTTAACATAGTTCCAGTAGTTTGCATCTGTAAGGAGAAGACTCTCTGCAGTAGTTGTGAAACCATTCCTGTTTAATTTTAAGCCTAATGGTGTAAACTATTCCATCTTGACCATAAATCAGTTCTATAATTTTTGCTACATGCCAAAATAAATGCTTTTTATTATCATCAAGAACAAAAGCTACTTCACCAGTACATGCGAGAATTTTTGGATGCATTTTTGAAAATGTTCCTTCTGTCCCACCTGTTCTGTTCTGAACATAAGCACGGATATCACATACTTATGTTCAGAACAAAAAGCCAAAAATTAAAGTCAGGGTCCACATCTACTCAATGCAGAGCATTTTGCAAAATTCATAAAGACAAAATCATTTGAAAAATGAAAAAAAAAAAAAGTTTCCTCACATAACTAAACAAGAATGAATTTTACGTTCTTGTATGAACTAGAAACTGAATGAGCAGTGACATCACTTATGCAGCATCAGTGCTACTCTACATTAGCTTTAATTCAGTTTAGTTCACAACACTATGAAAAATACAGTATATCAAAAGGAGATCAAATGTTTACTTTAAAAAACTATATTTTTAACTTATTTATTTGCTTTTATTATTATTGTTATAAAGTTATGAATATCAAGTTCTGTTCGTCTGTGGAATCTAACAACATAACCACTGAAGAGACTTAAAAAAAAAAAAAAAAAAAAAAAAAAAAGAGAGAGAGAGAGAGAGAGAGTTTTAACTATTAATAATGGAAATTACTATGAACCAACTCTTGATTTGGAGTTGTACAATAATAACAATACAAATGAAAAAACTGAAAGCTTTCAGATTTTATATTACGCCCAAAGGGACTTTTTTTAATGTTTTATGTGTTACCTTTAATTCAATTCAACAACAAAAACTCAAAAACCATTTTGGGCAATTCAGAATTTTAAGGTACAGGTTAGTGAAGGCTTTGTTTTTTAAAGAGTTAAATGCTAGAACTGACCAGTTTTGAGACTTTTAGCACAGTTTGCTGATATGCTTGTTAAATCCATTCTCAGATGTCCCAATTTGGATTTACTGAAATTCTGTTCTAAATCAGGCACAAAAAAAAATGAAAGGTTTCTCCATTTCAAACAAAAGATAGTTTGAATATTTTTGATTTCATTGCAGCCAATCAAATGATGCGATATTACCAAGATAAGAAGCGCTGCTGCATAAATAAATCAAAAACTGCATACGCTAGAATTTTAGACTAAAACATATAAATCTGCTAATATTTCAGGAAAAAGTAATCTTATATGGGATGGGAAAAAATTTAGTATGACATTCTTACCTTCTACAGGTACATTCTTCTTAGAAGAGACACTGCTAGAAGTTATTGGACTAGTTCGTTCTGAAGCATTTGACTGCAGCTTTAATTCAGCCTCGGATTGCTTTACAGAGAAAGTGGTTGGAATAGGAGTATCAGATATTATTACAGCTGCATAAGGTTCTAAAAACTTGCAAATGCCATTATCTTGACCAACTGATTTATTTTCAATAAAACAACCTAGAATAATAGGTTTCAGCTCCGTTGTTTTCTTTTTCCTTTCCATTTCAAATTCCTGAAGTTTAATTTTTAAAAGAGCTTTCTGTTTTTCTGGATCATTTACAACCTAAAACAGAATTTTAAGAATTAATTGCTGAACGTAATAAATAAAATAGGACATTATTGTGCAAAATATGAATTCAGAAAACTTCGTCAAAATAATACCAAAGTAAAAAAAAAAGTATTCTAAATTAACAAGAAACAATTTCTCAGTTTTCACAGTAAATTTTCTACACTGTATGAAACAATTAATTCAATAATCTAACTGTTGAATAACAATGAAAGAATATTTCTGAAAGTTTGCATTGTCTCATTGTATTTTTTTTTTTTTTTTTACTAAAAGAAATTATATTTGCTTCAAATATTTACTTTGCCGAAAAATATTTAAATATATATAACTGTAAATAATGTGATCATTTTGCAACCATTTAGAAGGCTTGTAAGTAACCTGCTATTTGTATAATTAATAAGTGGTAATGAAAGTAGTACAACATAATATAATTGGAATGTTAGATATCATCATTAAAAATGTCAAAAAAAAAAATTCCTTTAAGCTTTCATTACATTAACAAGTTACTTAATAATTTAGTTTGCATTTGTTTGCTTAACTGGCTCTGGTAAAATATGCAACGGTTATTTGTCTGAGGACAGGGGAGTTGGAATCTTCAAGAAAGACTTGTTATGAGAAACTGATTCGTATTTATGACATGCATAAAAAAAATCAAAAGCACTCTTGCAGCCTGCTTGCCCAGATTCGAAATTAGGTTTAATCCAGCATTCTTGTCTATTTGTCCTCTGATGCCGAAAAATTAGTTTTATTTTGTCATTTTTATCATTAAAAGCATGAATTTTTATTGAAAAGAATTTGTACTAAAATTTCTTTGTGATTAATTTTCCCAAAAAAATTCTATTTACAACCAATAGCAAGTTATCTACAAATTTTATACAAGGTTGCTGAATCTTCATTAGCCTTGTCGATCAGGCAGTCATCACACTGACCCAGGGACAATCGATATAAAGAGTGTTATAGCATAAGATATACTCAGTTTTTCTATGAGAATCGCAGGACAGAAATTACTCATAAACCTGGTTTCAGCAAGAATAAAATCATTCCCAGAGTGTAAGAATCCAAAAACATAAAATGTTATACCACCTAAATCTTATATTTGATTCTCATTATTTTGAGCCAACTAATATGTTATTATAATTCAGGATTATAAATGTCAGGATTAATCCAGTAAAAATGCCAATGGCAGCATAGCAAAACGAAGTCTGCCTGTAAATGATGAAATAGTCGATAAGAAGCTGTCAGCAAACCATCACAATGTTATAAGTGACGGGTTCAGCCAAAAGTGCACAAAGGTTTTTGTGGTTTAGTTTTTAAGCATGAGCAGTACAACTTTCCTAAGCATTTATTAACATATACAGCTAGTATATAGCAACAGATACTTAGCAAAATATACCTTTCAATATACACAAATCTTTAACAAGATTGTATACTCAGAGATCTTTAGATGAAAATTAAGCAAATAAAAAAATCACAAAAGAGTACACTGCAACAGATTATGCTCATAATTACACAGAATGTATGCATAGCAGCAACACTTTGCAGCTGAGTAAATAAAACAGATACATAACAAATTATAAATTTAGATGGTACACAATAGACCATCTAGCTTAGATGTGAACAGTCTAAGTTAAAATAATTGGCAATGGATCACTAAGCTCAATGAATAATCCTTATTCTAGGAGTAGATACTGTGGCTTGCGGGTTCGATTGATGGGTTGGGTAAGGTTAACTCAGCCTTTCATTCCTTGAGTGGGTCGATAAAATGAGTACCACTGTACCAACTTTGCTTAAGGATTAAACGCCGAGTATCCTTGTTCAGGGCATATGCTCACACACGCTGGGGCTCACGGTCAAGAAAGCAGATTTCGGGATACTGCACTTTTAAAGTTTTAGGACTAACTACACATGATAAGCACAAGAAGGAAAGTGAAATTAAGTTAAGTCCTAAACAGGATTTTGGCCAAGAAGGAAATGTACTACACTGTGAAACTTAATCAGTATCAGAACTGTCATCCTGACAAAGAACAGATGAATAAAACAATCAGTATCAGAACTGTCATCCTGACAAATTAGAGAACAGATGAATAAAACAAACTTCTTTTTCCAGATACAGGCAATTGATAATAAAAAATATTTTTAGCACAAGACATTTTATAGTATAACTAAATGTCAAGATTAGAATTGAAATTTAGCACTTTCATTATGCTTTCTCAGCTTTTTAACTGCTGCGCAATAAATTATATCTTTCAAAATAAATCCTAAAGAATCCTTTATAAAGGATAATATGATATACATTAAACATCATATATGATTCACTCTCATTTCTTAAGTTCAAATTTATTTATAGTCACATATATTTTTGTTAAGTTTCATATACAGGGTTCATAGCCACATTTTAGTTAAAAAAATAAGCACCTATAAGCACTTTTCAAGCACATTTTAAGAAAAAAATAAGCACCTGTCTAATTACATTATACATAACTGCATAACCTTAAAAGAAAAATTAGACTTGTAATTTAAAATGTGAGCAATGCGATATTTATTAAGAGAATGAGCATTACCTCAACAATGGAAAACAAATAACTTTTTTTTTAATTTTAAATGACAGTTCAATTTACAGAATTAGTTTACAATGAGAGGAAAAAACTATGCACAAATAAACTATATTACAAAATTTAATGATATTTCAGTTGAAAATATAGAAAATAAATAATAAGCCATATTAATTGTATTCGTTTGACACCTAATAATAAATACAATTTATTTTTCCACTCATATTAATATTTAAATAATTTAACTTAAATCAAAATTCTGAACATTTTCTAAATTATCATTGCATAACAGTTTTCCCTTAACATATATCCCAAGCAAAGTAATTTAAGTAAAAAAGAGCCACATTTCTGAAATCAGAAGACGGGAAATTGCTTCATTCAGTCATCCTTTAACAGTAAAAGCTTAACTAACCAGCATACTCAGAAATTCCCGAATTTTCCGGTTAGTAACTGGAAAAAGAGGAGTGGGGGAGATTGTAGCCGTTCTTTAGATTTAAATTTAGGCTAAATAAATTATTTTGACATTTCGATACGTGCATCATATAAAAACCAACGGAACTTAGAAATATTCTGCTTAGAAAGCACAGTAAAACTCTTTTAAGTGTTCATAAACAAATCTCAGACTGAAATGCAAAATACCGCAAATGTTATTGCGCAATACGTGCAGCGTAATTCTTCCATATGTGATATTACGCAATCAGAATCAACACCTGCCGGTATTCGGAGAAAGAACTAAACAAAGGAAAAGAAAGAGACTTACTAATCTGGGGTGTTTCTGATTCTAATTTTCAACAGACTGTATTAAATTTCCGAAATAGAATCAAACTTCGCTTGAGTTGGGTAGACCGAAAAAACTTTAAGTCCTATTCAATCCAGATTGGACAGTGAAAAAAAAAAAAAAAAAAAAAAGTCCGCTGCTTCAATATTAGAGATTTTGCGGAGAAACTCCCAACCTCCGTACTGTATAATGTATTGGCAAAGAAAATGAAATTATTTTGACTATTCGATTACTTTCCTTTTATTTAAGCCATTCCGAATATTATTCCTTAGAAAGCTAATCTGTGTAAAAACACACCCATTTTTGGAAGTTTATCTATACTTCAGCAGTTACTGCAATTATATTATAATAAATATTCATACATATGCTCATAATATAAGCATAACGATCATAATAAACACTAATATGAACTGACCACGCGGAACGAGAATGCAAATTTATTAAAATCTTGATAGAAATTCAAACGTGTGTAGTATTTGGGTGGGAGGAAAAGAATACCGAATGTACCGGAATTTTCTACATTTTCGCAATTCTTTGGCCAATAGAACAACGTGCACCTGTCTGTACTCTTGTGCGCACCATGGGTTACGTTAATGCAGAGGAAGGGGGGAAAGCAATTTTCGGGAGTATTCACCATCTGACATTGCATATAAGGAAGAAAAGTTGTTTATTTAGTTTCGGCTTTGGTACGGGGAAAAAATGCGCGTTCATTAAAAACAAAGGATTAAAAAAAAAGCACTAAAAGCAAAAAATAAGCACTAAAAACAAAAAAAAATAAGGGCTTTAAAGAAAAGTAAGCACCTATAAGGGCCTCTATATAGTATTTTCAAATATAAGGACTTGTAAGCACTTGTAAGGACCGCTACGAACCCTGCATATATCAATAATAAAGTTTTTAAACCATCTGGTAAATTATTCATAAAGAGCAAGGTACCTTTTAAGTACTGAACTTGCAGGGCAATTTTTTGTGGAAAACTTTTCCTTTAAAATTTTATTCAATAGCATAATGTTGCAAATTTTGAAATAAAATTTTAGCCCTTTTATTCTGAATACAGTGACAAATTAAAAATCATACTTTATAAATATGGCTATTTTAAATTTTTTTATTTATCATTATTATTTGGGAACGGCATTCAGTTTTCTCTTAGGCTCTCTCAGTGTTTGATGGAGAATAGAAAGAGCAATAGATAATCAATTTTTCACTCTACTATCATTTTAAACAAATAACCATTACATATGGTTAAAGCACCTGTCACTGTTCTTCATTACAAAATCATTTTCATTCAGAGCATTGTCATCATTGGAAAAATGATATTAACCCTATTTTTTCATAATCTGTGATCAGTTACTACTAAACTGAGTATTAAAAAGCACAAAAGGGACTATACCATTGGAAAAAAGCCAAGAGAAAATATTAAGTCATAGAAAGTTACAAAAAGTATGCTTCTCTTTCATCCTAATTCATCACTGCACAGCTCTCATATTACAGGGTTCGTACACATTTCTACACATGGGAATTAAGTACTTTTAAAGTGTTCATTAATGAAAAAAATTAAGGATATATCAGCAAACAATGAATAAATTCAATTAAAGACATTATGTATGCCTGAACTTCACTTTTGTAATGCCGTCATAAGAATAAAGCATATCCGTAAGGAGGATGCATT